TTTTTTTTCGGTGGCGGCTGTTGCCGTTGGCGCGGGCGAAGCTGCTGGCAGAGCACTTCACAACTTGCGCGTGGATGCTCAGATTTTTCCCCACCCGTAGGACTGTGGGATTGTTAGATTTTTAGAACTTTGGACTTCAGCACGCCCGGTAGCCCAACTTAGCCCTTCCACAACACACTGGCCAAAGTGGTCCCTGAGTAGCCCAACTTAGCTCTTCCATAGCACATTGGCCGAAGTGGCACAGCACACTCACCAAAGTGGTCCCTGAGTAGCCCAAAGTTCCACAGCACACTGGCCAAAGTGGTCCCTGAGTAGCCCAACTTAGCTCTTCCATGGCACACTCACCAAAGTGGTCCCTGAGTAGCCCAACTTAGATCTTCCATAGCACACTGGCCAAAGAGGTCCCTGACTAGCGCAACTTAGCTTTTCCACAGCACACTGGCCAAAGTGGTCCCTGAGTAGCGCAACTTAGCTCTTCCACAGCATACTGGCCAAAGTGGTCCCTGAATAGCCCAACTTAGATCTTCCACAGCACACTGGCCAAAGTGGTCCCTAAGTAGCCCAACTTAGCTCTTCCACAGCACACTCACCAAAGTGGTCCCTGACTAGCGCAACTTAGCTTTTCCACAGTACACTGGCCAAAGTGGTCCCTGAGTAGCCCAACTTAGCTCTTCCACAGCACACTCACCAAAGTGGTCCCTGAGTAGCCCAACTTAGATCTTCCATAGCACACTGGCCAAAGTGGTCCCTGAGTGGCGCAACTTAGCTCTTCCACAGCACACTGGCCAAAGAGGTCCCTGACTAGCGCAACTTAGCTATTCCACAGTACACTGGCCAAAGAGGTCCCTGACTAGCGCAACTTAGCTTTTCCACAGCACACTGGCCAAAGTGGCCCCTGAGCAGCGCAACTTAGCTCTTCCACAGCACACTGGCCAAAGTGGCCCCTGAGTAGCCCAACTTAGCTCTTCCACAGCACACTCACCAAAGTGATCCCTGAGTAGCCCAACTTAGCTCTTCCACAGCACACTGGCCAAAGTGATCCCTGAGTAGCGCAATTTAGCTCTTCCACAGCACACTGGCCAAAATGGCCCCTGAGTAGCGCAACTTAGCTCTTCCACAGCACACTGGCCAAAGTGGTCCCTGAGTAGCCAACAGTAGCTCTTCCACACCACACTCACCAAAGTGGTCCCTGAGTAGCCCAAAGTAGCTCTTCCACAGCACACTGGCCAAAGTGGTCCCTAAGTAGCCCAGCTTAGCTCTTCCACAGCACACTGGCCAAAGTGGCCCCTGAGCAGCGCAACTTAGCTCTTCCACAGCACACTGGCCAAAGTGGCCCCTGAGTAGCGCAACTTAGCTCTTCCACAGCACACTGGCCAAAGTGGTCCCTGAGTAGCCCAAAGTAGCTCTTCCACAGCGCACTCACCAAAGTGGTCCCTGTTCACCAAAATAATCCCTGAGTAGTTCAACGTAGCTCTTTGACAGCACACTCACAAAAGTAATCTCTGACTAGTTCAACTTAATTCTTCCACAGCACGCTCGCCAAAGTGATCCTTGTTCACCAAAGTAATCCCTGAGTAGTTCAACGTAGCACTTCCACAGCACATTCACCAAAATGACCTCTAAGTATTGACACCACATTCACCAATCTGATCCCTGAGTAGCTAAACCTGGCTTTTCCACAGCAAATTCACAAACTGATTTCTAAGTAGCTCATCTTAGCTCTTCCACAGCAACCACAGTTCTTAGTAGCGCAACTTAGCTTCTCCACAGCACATTTACCAAAGTGATTCCAAGGTAGTTGTAGAGTTGCAATGTACTTATCAAGCCAACAAAAGCTGCGTTTTTCTCACCCGTAGGCCTGTCGATTGTTAGGTTTTTTTGAACTTCGGACTTCAGTACGCCCGGTCGCCCAACTTAGCTCTTCTATAGCACACTCACGAAGTGGTCTCTGAGTAGCCCAACTTAGCTTTTCCACAGCACACTCACCAAAGTAGTCCGCGAGTAGCCCAACTTAGATCTTCCACAGCACGTTGACCAAAGTAATCC